AATTGATTCTTGGAGCTTAATAGACTCTAATATTATATCAAGACTTAGTATTTCATTTTAAAATGTCAACCTTATTAACATGAATAACACAAACCTTTATGTATTAGTCTATATTTTTATCTTTATTCGATGTGAGATTTATCCCTTAACACGTCTCTACAAGATGATGACTTGTTTGAGTAAACCAATCTTGAAATCCGCATGCTCATTTTTTTTTTTAGTCTTAATCGAATCGAATTGTTTGTTGAAACTTAATGGACTCTGATACCACATTAAGACTTGTGGTTTCATCTGAAAAATTTAACCTTATTAAGAGAAATAGATCAAATACTTATAAATTGGTTCATATAATCATCTTTATTCTATGTGAATTTTTATCTCTTAACACATACATAACTCGTTTAGATTAACGTAAGGCCATGACGAAAAATATGGTCGATCAAATCGAGATTGACGCATATTAATATGATGTATTGATGAAAAGATTATATTTCCACAAAAAAACAGAATTATTTTGTCTACCACATGACATTATATGGATTGTTTTGATGCATTGTTAGATGTCATTTTTTATGGCAACAAAAATTAATTATATGGCAATTTTTGTTATCGTACATGAGAACCTGGTATGTTACACACAAAATACGAGAGTTGAAAATTTAGAATTAACATTGGACATAGTCAAGTGGGAGATTGTTTGAATTAATAAAGTAGGTCCAATTGTTAGGCTAATTTAACAATGGCATGTTGGAGTGAATTAATTGGATTAATTGACTTTGAACATATTAGAGTTAGGGTTTACTAATCCTAGGAAGATTAAGTTTGCAGTAACCTGTAAATAAATAGTCCATTTTTAGGATTCTACACACTTGTCGTTATTTCATGCTAGCACATGAGAAATGACAAAACCTAAACCTAATTGTCTAAATCGGATTGTCATCACTTGTCGTTGTTGATTTCCATCGTGATTTGCTCGTGGTGGTGAATCCCAATTTGTTCTTGTCCTGTGGATTTATGTTAAAGGCTGGACATTTGGATGGTTATGGAATGCTAAGATCGTAGTATATTAAACTTAGAATCGTCTCAACTTATGAAAATTGCTAAAGGTATTCCTCCTATCACGGATTCTATTTGAACATAAAGGTGATCGAATATTTGAGTATTGAAACTTGTCTAATTTCCGTCGTGCATGTTTTAGTAAATATCTAGTAGGTCCTTGGCATAAATAATGACAACTATTGTGAAAAGGAAATGATACTTGCAAGCATGATTAAGTGGTTGCAAGTAATCATGAAAATATAGTCCTTTTAACTAACTAACGCGTCTCAATCAATTGTTTGTCACCACAAGGGAGAGTTGATCAAGTAAGCAACATGTATTGTTGTTATTATTGTAATTTGTTTCAATTGGATAACTATTTCTATACGTAGGGTGTGTTTGAGCCCCTTTAATTTTGAAAAATGTATTATGGAATAGCAGATTGATGGAGAATGTGTGGTTAGAAATGAATGAAAAACTTTTGATTTGCGTGTAATATTATTTTGATGAAGAATTTATGGTTGAAAATGAGTACCGTAGAAAAAATAATGTGGTAGAATGTAAAACAATGGGTGACAAACAATGGCATAATTCACTTTCATATCTGAGTTCTACTGTTAAACATGAAAATACAATTCTTGAACGAATCAAATGTTTGTGGATTCTTTTGTACGATGATTTTGGATAAGATGAAGGAGTCCAACTAGTGATCAAGTTATTATATATCTATAATATATTAAATATCATATCAAGTAAGGATCATTTTTTGGACGATTTTAATCATACTACAATTCAATTATTTCAATATCATACCTTTCTTTTTTAACATGTAATGAATAATACAAAATTATTGAAATTTATTAATTTCGTGTTATTAATTCTCAATTAATTAACATTCATATTAATTTAGATTCAATGAATTTTAACTTGATGAAACTTAATTTACATGAATCTAGAGTTATTATAAATGAATTTATTTCTATTCATTTAATGGATGTTTAAATTCATGTATTAACAATTAATTATTATGTATCAAATTATAAAAATGTTATTCATTTGTAGTATTTTATCATCACAAAAAAAGTGAATAATAGAAATTGAGTTTTGAAAGTACAATTTTTTTCTCTTAAATTTTTATCCTAAATTTTATTTTCTTTAGTTCGTTTGAAACTCATCAAATTCTTCCAACAAATTGGTATCAAATACTTTTATAGCACTTATAAAGTATTTCAGAATAACGTGCAGTGCACGTTCAACTTTGACTAGTAAGAAAGATGTGTTGTTTGCCTCACAGTAGGAGCGATTCCTCTTATAAAAACTAAGTGTTGGAATGATAAATGTGACATTACAAGTAATATAAATTTAAAGGTGATGGATTGTCTTGTCAAAAAGTAGTGAAGAATATTTCTCTTGCATAGTTACTTGACCCCAAACATGTCGTAAATTTGTTGCATTCTAATATTGTACGAGTCCAGATTGGAAGGGTAGTTTTGGCCTCTTTACTAGTCAAACTCATGAAAGATGTTTTAGATCCGCACAACGTAGACGCCATGTGTGAGCCAAAAGCGCCATGTAGCTACGAACCATGTGGAAGCCTCGTGTGGAGTGAATTGCCTCCTTGAGATGAAGGCTAAGCCCTAAGGCACTCTTCACAATGTGGGGAACTTGAGACTCGATGAAGAGGGAGGTTTCAACTTTAGTTGAGTTATTGAATGAGTGAATAACTAACATCCCACTCCTTGAGAGAAAAGTATATATCTCGTTTGACGTTATGACAATGATTAGCAGCAAGGAGCCAACAAGATTTTCTCGTATAGGGAAAAAAAATTTAACACTATCGTCTTCATCACAAACCTTTCCTCAATTAAAAAGGTTCCAGCAACAATTTGACATTTTTGAGATGTCTACACAGAAGAGCTGCTTACGGTTGCCCCTTTCCCTTTTAATAATATGGTAAGCTTCCAAAGCTCGTTCCTTCAGCTGGGTGAGCCATCGCTTTTTGGATCGTCTTCTGCCCAGTGCAGTACGCCCCATTTTTTGGTTCCCACCGATAATTACGAGAAGTATAAAAATCAAAGATGTGGCTGTGACAAGGTCGACGGCCAATCGACAGATGTCAAAAGATCTATAGTACCCCCTAACTCAAATCTCCTATAAATACATTTGACTTGCACAAAAGGTATAAAACATCATAAACTATAGTTAAAATTCAGGCCATTTGTCTCAATCATACTTAAATATTCTGGTATCTAATTTGATAGTTGGAGTTCAAACATTCGTCGAATCATCTTGTGTTAGTGTGCAGTGACTCATAGATAGACGAGGAAGTGAGATCTCTTAGAACTAGGTTGTATAGACTTGGAGCTGGACAAAATAAGTGGTGAAATTTAAATTTTAAAATAAGTGACAGAAATGATTATTTGTTGCATTTTAGCTTTATTTGCTTTGTGGTACATCGGGCTTTGATGGGTTACTGCATAGAAGGATTTTTATTTTTATTTTTCTCTCTTTTGGCCCCAAACTATAATTTCTAGACAAACTTATTGGGGGCATATGTCCTCATCATTAATGGACCCTCCAACAATATCATATTTCTACTTTTAACCAACTATTTTAACTTTTCTTTTATTGTCTTTTCAGATTAGTAATAAAGCTTTAAGAGTCCGTTTGATAGGTAAATGTGGAAAATAATTTCAATTTCATATTAGTTGGAAGATAAAAACCCACCAAACTCATATGAATTCTTTTTTCATGAAAATAAAAAAAATACCGTTTAAAGTGGTTGTACCTTGAAATTCGATTTTCATTTCCATGTTGCAATCAAACGGCTAAAGTGAAATTTGTTTTCCTCAAATGTGATATTTTCCATGAAATTCGTTGCAATCAAACACGACTTATTACTTGTGCACGTGATGGCTAATCTTAGGTCACTAATGTCTGCATGAGCAACCACACCCAAATATTCTAAAATGTGAAAGAATTGGCTCTCTCTTGTACAATACTTGGTATGTCAAGAGAAAACTGAACTTCATTTGAGACAATTTGTTGATAACACGGTACATGTTAATAAAGATAAATCTTGCAATGCACTAAGTTGAGGATGGGTATTGTTGGATTAAGTTCGATTTTGATTAGAATTGGCTTAAATCGAATACTAATGAGATTATATACATGGAACTAAATAGCTCCATGTTCTCGATTTGCCTTGATTCCTTTTATGCTTCGGAAAAAATCGGTAAAACGTAAAATATTATGTAAATTTTCTAGATTCGTTTTGTACGCACATCCTATTTTTAGGTGGCAAAAGTGCTAATTATTCTCGACGATTTTGCTTCAAGATTTTCTAGTAAGATTATTAATCTTTTTTTTTTCTTTTCAAATAAAGAGAAAAATGAATTATTTTACACAGACTTAAAAATAAAAATACAAATTCAACATGATTGCTATCGTAGCTTTCACTGCTTGGATCACAAGCTTGCAGTTAGAGAAATGGGTCATAAGTGATAACCTGCGATAACCAATGAGTTTGTTAAAAGAAAAGGAACCATTTTTATTTTATTTTATTTATTATTATTTTTTGTAATCAAATTGCTATTTTGCCAATTTAATGGGGACCAACGATGCAATCTCCCAATATTAGTCTCCTGAATTCAGTGAGATTTATTTTTGTACAGGTATCCTTAAACTACTCGAATTCAATTATTTGGTAAAGAAACATTTGCCTTTATCCGCGAATTAATTAAAGTATCCATAATGGCATGTAATTCATCAAAAGAAGCTAACTTATTGTTCTTGTTGGGCTTTTTTTTTTAATTGAAAAGAAAATTTCTAGAAGGAAATTTCAAAAATAATTGAGACGACAAATTGTCCGACAAAAACGGTTTCGAGATTCGAGAATAACCAGAGGACTAAAAAAGAAACCCGACGTTAAACAAAAACAAGAAAAAAATGAGGAGAAATTGATGTTGTTGCTGTAAGAAAAACATAAAACATCCAATTGTAGTCGTAAAGAGAGAATTGGGTTCACCTTTTTGTGGGTGTTGGTGGAATTTGGAGATCTTGTCAGGTCGATCGGGAAGACGGAAGAAAAATTGATTTGTAAGAATTAATCATTAGTTTGTTAAAATTACCCATTTTTGGTTTATCTTTCACTTCATGCAATGTCTTGTTTTGTTGGGTTCGATCTGCATGTTGCTCAGCTTTCCTCTTCTTTGGGCTCTCTCTCTCTCTCTCTGTGAATATACATATTATGTATCTATACATGCATGTATATTTCTTTATGGGCTTGTGTTCTTTTTTCTGAGGCAAATGATGGACTTTGAAATGCTACATATATAAATTTAATTTGTGGGTTTTGTGTTTCCTGTTGGATGTTTTTGTTATAAAATTTGCATGGTAAGGTAGAAATTGAGCTTTTCTGAAGGATTAATGTTAGCATTTTGTAAGAAAAGATTGAGCAATTGAAATGGGCTTCTTAGCTTTACTTTTGATTTCAGCTTCAGATTGTTTTGATTTTTGATTATGGTACGATGATTGATAGAGTTTACGTTCTTTGATGCTTTTCAAGAAAATTATAGTAATTTCATTTTCACCTGGCAGTTTTTATTTCCTTTCTGTGTACTTGGATTACATCTTTTCTTCTTTGATAATTTTTCCTTCTGGTAAACTTTTAAGGTTGAAATGCACTAATTATGCTTTAAATTAGCACGCCATTGCAGTATTATCCTTTTGTTCCTGCCTATAAAGAAGGGATTTCTCGCTTGAAATTGAATTTTACCTCATGGTGCGTGCGCGTTTCATAAGGAAAACATTTGTGGTCGGCAGAAATGTAAGAATTGGAAGGGAGAGAACGATAACACTGCTAAAGCTCGTTATATGTTTGTTTGCCTTTGAGAATTTACGTGATTTGGATGTCATGACAAATTAATTTTTTCTTTTTAAATCTCAAATGAGCTAACCTTTTCAATTTGATGCGATTAACCGGTCATGGGTGCTGGATCTCTTATTTGTAGTGGTAAAAAACAGCACTGAGTACTACTTTCTGATTTAAAGTACATTTTTAATGCTGCAGGCAGATGGGGAGAGATGTTGCAGGCTTGCACGTTGACAGGAATACTAAAACTGTCAACATGAAACACAATGGAACCTTTCATGGTACAGTTCATGTTGCTCCCAAAATCGCATCGGAAAAAGTTGAAACAAAGGATTATGAGCTGGAGGATCATGCTGAAAAAAGCATAGCTGCGGATGAAAGTAATCGGGAGCAAGATGTGCTAGGAGTCAAAAGCACCAACCATGAGCCTGAGCAGAGAAGTCTGAAGGCTGAGGTTCAGAAGTCGAGTGATGATAAATTAAATTCCTTGGTTAAGCCAGAGCCCGTGGCTGCTGTCAATCAGTCAATCAACAAGGATTCCTCTGAGCTGCTTACATCAAGTGTTGAGGATGAGAAACTAACATCATATGAAAGCCATGCTAATGCGACTAAAACCGTTGATTCTGGAGAAAGAAGTTCACCAAAATCAAATGATGCAAGTTACCAAGCTAATGGGACTAAAACCATTGATTCTGGTGAAAAAATTTCACCAAAATCAAATGATGCAAGTTATTCCAGGACCGTTGGAAAATCACAGGTAGTAAGACCATTAGAGATTCATGCCGCTTAAGGTTGTGTTCCAAGTTTTAAATTTTGCATGTTAACTGTCTAATGAGAGATTGGTGCTGCATAAGGTTGTGTTGAGATGTAAATAATGCCGCAATATATAATTAAGTGGAATCCCCTTGATCTGGTGTTTATGTTGGCAACATTATTTTTGTTGCAGACAAAATCTCATTCGGAATCAAGGAACCTGCTGCAACCTAATGAAAACAAATATCAGTATGAAGATGATAATTGGTCCTTGGCTTCCTCATATCCTGCTGAATTCAGAATCTTGTTTTTGTTCTTATCAAGTTTTCCATTTCTTTATTATTTCTTGACTGAGTTTGTGCTTTCCATGTTCTTGAAATTGGATTCTCCTTAGCGCTTGTGTTACTGCAGCATCCGTACGGACAGTTAAATCTAGAGTTACCGTTCCAGTGGCTCCATCATTTAGATGCATGGATCGTGCAGAGAGACGCAAGGAGGTAGTTTTTAGATTAAAATGCTGAATTAATTACATATTCCTGATTGTTCTCTCTCTCTCTCTCCCTCCTTTTTAGGACTTTTTTTTAATTCTTGGCTCCATATTCCATTTTTAGTTTTACACGAAGTTGGAGGAAAAACAAAAAGCTTTGGAGCAAGAGAAACTTGAATATGCAGCTAGAACCAAGGTACACCTTTCTCATTTGGTATATAATTTCAGTTCGTCCTCTACTAATGCTGTCAAGATCTATCTCACTTCTCGATCGCTGTCTTATTTAAAAATTTTGAATTTATTTACACGTCTTTTTATTATTGATCCTATTCATAGGAAGAAGAAGCTGCTGCTATAAAGCAGCTCAGAAAGAGCATGACGTATAAAGCAAATCCAGTTCCAAGTTTTTACCGTGAAGGGCCTCCTCCTGTGAAGGTTGAATTTAAAAAGGTACAGCTTTGGTCTTTCCTGTATGGGTTTCTCGAAATTGGCATCCAGTTTGTGCTTCGAGTGAACACCTAATTTTGCGATATCTTGTCTCCAGCATAAATACTAGTTGAAGCTCCAGCAAACTGCATCTCCTACTAAGAGATATACTCTTGAGCTTGATAACATTGAAATGCTTTTCTTTGTTAAATCGATTCTCTTTAGATTTTGATATGTTTAGTTTTTCATGTCTACTACTACTACTGCTCTGGGTTGGATAAGATTGAAGAGTATAAAAGTGAAGACGATATAAAATAGCTATCCAGCTAATTAGAAATACCCAATGCATATAGATAACACCATCCAAAGAAATCTAACACGAGAACCTAAGAAAGGGATACAGTTCAATAGGCAAATTCCAAAGCATGCTTTCTACTATTTTCAAGATCAAACTAAAAAAAAAACAAATGAAAGAACCATTTCGTGCATGTCTATTAAAAAAAAAAGAGTAAAAGTTTTACCATTCCTGAGTAGACTAGCCAGCACAACATTTTGGGATAAAAACTCCGATAAATTTCTGTAGTATAGTCCAAAATGAGATTCGTAAAATAATTGGGATTCCTTCCAATGACGTGTGTCTGCATCGTTCCCAGGATTAATTTGATTGTGACACAACACTAACGAAAGAAATTGGAATGAATCACTCTCCTCTGTCATGGTCCCACTACTAATACTCCTTCGACTACTCTGCTTCTCTCCACTTTTGAAATTTTATCATTTTTACCCAATTCAGTTGAATGCCAGCCACCAGTTATTCTGCAAAACCATCAAATCTAACCCGGAGAAAGGATTGTGGTGAAGTAATGCTGCTGCTATTACAATACTATCTTGTCTTCAAATCTTTGCTGTAAACAATAAATTTACTTAGTTTTGGTTGAATGGCAGCTGCCAGTGACTCGTGCAAAGTCACCAAATCTATCACGGAGAAAGAGCAGTGGTGATGTAGTCAAATCAACACCAGAGGAAAAGGGAATTTGTGCTCGAGTACCGCGTCACAGCATAGGTGTTTTCAAAGAAGGCAATAACACTCCTATCACTACCAAAACTTGCAGCGGCATACGCAGTGTTAATGGAACTAGACAAGTTACCAATCGTCCCCGCCAGTCTAAAAAACCAACAGAGATGTCTTGTGTGGTATCAGAACAGAAAACTGCAGATCTTGCTGTTGAGTCGTGAAGAATTTAGTCTTCCATTGTTTAAGTTTGCTATTTAGAAAGGCAAAGTTTCATCAACTTCCTTATTGAGACCAAAATGTACTGGCCAGGTATAAGGGTTACTCTCTTACCCATAGTTACTTGGCAAAAGTGATATCTGATTCTGGCTTGTATATTTTCTTAATTTACTATGTTTCATGTATTATTCATGCTTGATTTGTAATCTTGTGTATAACTGAATTTCAAGTAGTAGTAACTTGTAATGAGAAGTCTTTTTTCAAGGGATATTCCAGTTGCTGCTTTCTATTTGGGACTGAAACTTGAACTATGAACTTCTTGAATCTTGGGCTCAGTTGATTTTAAGATGGTTGGTTATGTTTAAAAGCTGCTTTTTTTTATGCTTATTTTTTAAGCGACATGTAGAGACGGATTGTCCAAAGAAACCATTAAGAAACTGCTAAGTGCAGCCAAGCAAGATTTCGTCATATCTAATATTATCAACCTTTGCATCTGTGCCTTCTGTCACTCCTAATTTTCAACCTTCTTGCTTTCTCTTCCTCTTCACTCCACTTTTTCCATACTATACCGTATACAACAGTCTAGCAAGATTATGTCCCGGTTTGGGTAAAAATTAAATTTTTAATAGATTTTGATAAAAGTTGATGAAATATGTGTTGGAAGGTTAATTAAAGTTTTGAGTTTCATGAAATGTGTGGTTGAAAATAAATTTGGGAAAAAAAAAAAGAATTTTAAAAAATGGATCCAAACAAGGGCTACATAAAAAACGAGGGTTGATTTTGAACATGAAAGGAAATTTTGGCACAATGATGCAAGTGCCCATTGGGCCTGTTGAACTGGCCCAGCTGGAAATCTTTGGAGGCCCAGTTACTTGTTTATTCTGTTTGGTGCTAGAAAACGTGTACTTTGAAGATGAAATCGTGTTTCTCACTTACCTGATGAAATGAACGCCTATGGAGTCACCACGTGTCGCCTCCAACGCCGTTGGATTGGCGACTGTTGTGTGACCCATTTAAAAGGGCTTCTAGGGTTTGAGTTCCACAGTTGCTTCTTCGAGAGTCTTCCATTTTCTCTCTTACAGTTGAATCGTTCTCTCGAGTTTTCTCTTCTTCTCTGCAGAAATCAAATCTTCTCATTTTTGATTTCTTAATCTTTCTCAATAGTGGGTAATCTTTAGTGATTCTCTTGAGTAGGATATGTTCTTGTGTGAACTATAATGTACGGTTGAAGAGAGAACTTGAAACTGTGATAATATTGGGCTTGTCTGAGTGCCATACCTTTGTAATCTCACTCTGGTTGTGATTCAAAAACAAACAGTGGTTAGTTTCTGTGATTGAAGCACAGATCGACTGATGATCTTGGCCTGAGGGTCTGATAAATAAAGATACGGTTCTTTCCTTTTATTTCAGTTCCTCAGTGTTACAATTTCAGTGCGGTTTTGTTATCTTTTGCACATATGTATTTGTTGATTTGTAAGCTAATTGTTTGAACTCCTCCAAACAGAACATGTCATTAATTTTGAGTCTTAGACTAGTTTTATAAAGAATTGCGCATTTGACATAAAAACATAATATTTGAAACAACAAAATCAAAAAGTAGAGAGAGCTATTTCCTATCATGCAACTTGTAAAAAGGCCTTTTTAAAACAAGAAGCAAAAAGAGCTAATTATGAAACCTCCCTTGAAATTTTTGAATAATACAAAGACAACCTTCGATTTTAAAGAATTACGAAAACCTCCTTTCGAATTTGTTTTCTAAACAGATTAACTCCTTTAACTCATATCTAAATATATATTTCCAATCTGTATTTTATACTATTTTACACTTCTTTTTTCATGTTTCCTTTTTGATTTTATTTATTTTTTCCCAATTTTAATTAATTGGGGTATTTTTATACTCGAAATATTTATACTAGATGAAGTTTAGAAAATTATATACCATTATCATATCCCTAAAAATGCTACAAAATTGACATTGAGCCCCTTTTTGGTTTGGATTAAAATTCCTGTTTGGTGCACATTAAAATGAGAGAATGCATTTTTTTGAAGTGATGGGGAATATGTGGTTGAAAAAGAAGGAAAAGTTATTAATATGATGAAAAATATTATTTTATTGAAGAATGTGTGGTTGAAAATGCGAGAAGAATATGAATGAAAAAATAATGTGGATCAAACAGGGGCTCAATTAAAATCTCAAGTCAAAATCAACAATTAATTTCAACCACACATTTCATCAACCTTTATCAAAATCTACTAAAAATCTGATTTTAATCTCTACCAAACAAAGGCCTAATAAAGTTCAGAATTTAGATTTATTCGTATTCATTTTTTGCTAAAATTTTATCAAATGTGTTCATCTTTTAAATGAAAAATGTCATTTTCAACCAGAAGTCTTACTGGGATGAAATCACTTTGGGCATAAAGAGGGAAAATAATTCTTGAAACTAGACCTAATGTTCTTAAATAAATTAGAAGTAATAAAAAGAAAAGAAACATGATAGTTTTAAATTTGTATACACCACGAGTTAACTGCACTAAACGTCTTCATTTTTTACTTAATGTTGCACTATCTTCAACATTTTCTCATCGTATTATTATCTTCAACCTTCCATTATTCAGTACATTTATTTCCTGCTTACGATTTTCTTCCCATATGGGAAGTTTTTACAATTTTTATGAAGGCAAGGAGTGTCTAGTTTAATTTTCTCAAAAAGAAATAAATATATATAGAAAAACTTGTAGTTGGAAATTTTTGAGAGAGTAGGAGATTTAGATATTCACGATCAAATAGAAGAAGAATAAAATTAAGAACTTCGACCAAAATAATGAAGAAACATCGAAAAGTGACTAAAACGCCCAATCTCGCACTTAAGATTCTTCACGGAATTCATCGGCAAATAGCTCAAGAATTTAGTAAGTGTTCTTAGGTTAATCGATAAGAAATAAGAACCCTAAAAGAAGAATGAACACTTTAAAACTTCTTGAATCATTGGATCTAATTTTACTAACTCGTAGCAAAAACAGCGGCCTTTGGCTATCAATGCTCTTTGCTCGCTTCATTACGGTCGCAACAATAAACCTCATGGCCTCATTGCAAGAGGCATTTATCTTGATTCCATTCCGTCTGGCAGAGTTTAAATTATAATTTAAGTTAGTCAAACATAATTTTTATACACATATTTCATAGGACCAGAACTTTTTCCTCACTTATTATCTACACATTTTATATAAGTAAAAATTTATAAATACTTAAAAGTACTCCAGAACAGGTACAATTTGCATCAATATGGTTTGTTCTTTTCTTACTAGTTAGAGTAATTTCAATTTTCAAAACACTTTCTAAGTCCCTGTTTGGTAGAAATTAAAATTCAGATTTTAATTTTAGTTAAAGTCAACATTTAATTTTTCAATCACACATTTCACCAACTTCTATCAAAATTGACAAAAAATCTGATTTTAAACCTTGATAAACAGAAGCTAAATATAAGAAATTCTTTATTTTAGAAAATACGAAAATGTTCTCTTGCCCGCGGCGGGCAGGCTTATCCTGCCCGCCTGCTGATGTGGCAGGAGAACCCTACGTGGGGTTCTCTCCAAATGTGAGAACCCCACGTTGGGTTCTCTCCGAGTGGGCATTATAAGCTTGCCCGTAGCGGGCAGGAGAACGGGACTGTAAAAAGGTAATTCGTGGGGTTCTCTCCAAATGTGAGAACCCCGCGTTGGGTTCTTGCCGAGTGGGCTTTATAAGCTTGCCCGTCGCGGGCAGGAGAACGAGACTGTTAGAAAATATGCGCAGAAATTCAACAAACAACCAACGAGCCATCAGTTGCCAGATTTAACGTTGTAATTTTGCTGCAGGACAGCTTAAAAATTAACGGTTGACTATGGAGAGAGAGGACACCCGCATTCCATGGCCATATTCCCCCTGCAATCCTCTCATTAAAGCCCTCCCAACCCTCACCTGCATGCACGAGAACGTCAACAAAAATCCCTCCCGATTCGAACGTAGAAAATCCTCCTATAACCACAGCGCCTCCACCACCATCCAAGGCGTGCCGGGCGGTCATACCCTGATCCGCCACGGCAGCCGAAAAACGCCGTTAACCCATTCGTCTGCCATCTCTATTTTTTCATTAAAGGAGATGAAAGAGACATATCATCAAAAGTTAAAAATGTCGTCGTCCTCTTCTTCCTCTTCACCTTCCTCTTCTTCCGAGTCGGAAATAGAGGAGCTACGGCGGTTAGAGAATGCTCCTCCCTTCTGGAAGAATCCTAAGGCGAAGAGATTATCAAAGCAGGTCTCCATGTTAGAGACACCTCGTGATATTGCATGGGAGAAGCGCCGCCGCCAGATTTTCATGCAAGAGCGGAAGAAAAACGACGCTGACGATTTGACAGACGAGGATTTGAGCGAGCTAAAAGGAAGCATAGAGCTTGGATTTGGGTTCAATGAAGAACAAGGACAAAAGCTGTGCAACACATTGCCTGCCCTCGACCTTTATTTTGCGGTGAACCGCCAGTTTTCGATGAGCCCTGTACCGAGTCCAAATAGTACCGAGTCGGCGCCCGCTCTCGGTGGCCGGTCGACGTCGTTTGGGAGCGACTCTGCTGATTCATGGAAGATTTGCAGTCCAGGTTAGATTAATTAATGGAGAATTCCTTGAGAAAAAGATGCTTTAGCCTAATGTTTCTTGCCTTATTATTATTTTTTTCCTTTCCTTTTCTTTTTTGTTTGAGGCAAGCTTCATAGGAAGAAAACGAGAAACTCAATAAGACACGACATGTTAGTACGTTATTTTTGAAAATGTAGGACACAACGTCTTGTAAATTCAATGTAAATTTGCAAAAAATATTTAACATTCATTAATACACAAATCACTTATTGCGTGTGATAAAAAATGAGTTCATCACTCTTTTCACGTACATCTAGAGAAAATGTTATGATAGCTAGCCCCTCTCTAGTTGGAGAGCCTCTAGGACAAGGAAGCGGCACTCAACATCCACTCTCTCGAGATTCATATTGATTAATTGGAATATGAGTCAGTGCTCAACTAGTTTGGAGACTATAGCTTTTAATCCAAATTACGAAATAGAAGATAGAACTCAAATAGATGGTACATTTTTTTAGGCCGTTAGTCTTTCTTTTGATCAATTATTACTCTGCAGCAAAGTGTAAAATTGTAATCAATTTTTTCCAACTACTTTGTTCAAGAACGAAGAATATTTGTATTTCTCTCTTGGAATAATTTTTCACAACAAATTTTGTGTTGGGTGTGGAGTGCAAGTCGAGCAACGGGCAAAATCAGGTAGGTAGATTTAAGTTATATAAGAAACAAAATAACTTTTAAGTAATTGATATGTTAAAGCCATATCCGATCCTCGTTTCCTAAAACTCATTTTTCCTCAAACTAATTTTCAATCACACATTTAATCAATTTTTAATGATTCAATGAATGCGCAGGTGATGATCCTCAACAAGTGAAGACAAAGTTGAGGCACTGGGCACAAGCAGTGGCATGTTCAGTGAGGCAATCCTTTTGAAGGGTACACAAAAACGCGACATGACACAAAACGACACCCGGAGGAGATTGTTCTTGCTTAGGTTTACTTTCGTATTTATGTATTAATTGCACATTAGGCAAACTTTTAGAGTTTTGTTAATTAGAGGACTTTGACACACGAAAGTCTTGAACTTTTGCAAAATCCAAGTCCAAGAGTAGCTTCGGAATAGGTTTTGGTAATCTCAAAACTTATATAGAAGATCTTTAGACCATGATTTAGATTTTTACCCTCTTCATTTATTTCATGTTGAACATATATACGCTGACATCTTTGTAATATTCTCGTATTTTGCTTGTTTGCTTGTATAATTGTGTGATTGTCGATGTTTTTTTCTCGTTTATTTTCAATTTAGAAGTGTGTTTGAACCACATTATTTTTATTGAATAATATGTGATTGAAAATGGGTAGAAGAATGTGAATTTTAATGTGGCTCAAACATAGACTTATAGTTTCTAACTCGATAAGAGAGAGCACTATTCTAACATCCCAAACATACAACCACATTTTGTGGGAGCATAAATGCGAATCGGTGCAAGTCTACCAAACATATTAAAGAATCATGCTTGGTATACAATCATGATTGATAATCTTATTGACAACATGTCACGTGTCAAATTATAATTAATTAATCCAATTATGCATTATTTTTGTACATCGTATATGACATCCCCATATGTGTGAGAAATCTGACTAATAATCTGATGGAGTTTGTTTAAAATCAATTGCCATAATAGCTGACACATCAAACAATGTCAAAATTAACGTCTTCCCTAACGTACATTTAGTGAAGTTGAATTATAATTGGACAATTTGAAAAAAAATATATATATTTTTGCAACCAATTGTTTTTTAACAACTCATATATTGTCAACCATGATTGTCATCTATGATTGTATCTATGATGTACGATGGGCTTCCGTAAAGGCAGGTTGGACTAAATTGTACAAACGGTTCTGTAAAATGATATTATACTAAATGCACTAAAATTATCAATAGAAACACAAAATTGTATCGAACTCATAAAAATACTCCCAAACGCTCTCACTTTTGGTGGTTCAAATAAGTGTATGTCATACTAATCACGATTTTAGGTCAATACATATACGCTGTTATTTATATTATTTTTACGCCAAAATCGTGATTTTGAAATCAAGTCGAACCTCAGAAAAGGATTTAATTGAATAAACGGAATAGTTTAATTTGATTTCGAATTTTTCTGCATTTTTTTATTTTTTATACCATTTAATTTAAAATATATCAAAATCATCCAAACATAACTATTTTTGACTTTTTGGGTGTCTAATTCTTAACATGAACACCCAACTCAGACCGCACGGAATTCTTTACTTCCTGCTGCAGATGGCGTCACTATGCAACCTCCTCCGTTCCCGCTTTCCGATTCCCAAAAGCCCTCTGGTGACTTCTCTCCGACTGGAACTCTTCTCCACATTCTCGGACTACGAACAGATGGAAACTCAAGATCAAGAAACCCAATTCCCAATCACTATTACAAAGCCCACACTCCCACCAATCGAACTCTCACCGGATGCAGACTCACTCTCCCAAATCTTAATTCACCACCACAACCCTTTTCACCACATGGAGTCGTCCCTTCAACTCAACGGAATATCCCTCACCCCTTCCTTGATTCAGCAGACTCTCCTCCGGTTAAAACACCATTCGAAAATTGCGCTTGCCTTTTTCAAATATTCACAATCCTACCACCATTCTTGTTCTTCTTCCTTTTCACTGCTTGATACTTGTTGTTACAATGTACTGATTGATATACTGTGCAGGGTTCGTCAGTTTGATGCGGCATGGCAACTTATTTTACAGATGGATAGTCAGGAAATTGGGACTCAGTCGAAACCCAATTTCACAACCTTTTTCATTTTAATTCGTAGATTAGTTTCTGCGGGATTGACTAGAACAGCAGTTCGTACTTTTCATGATATGGGTGTTTTTTTGAATGATGTATTTGACTCGCGGTTTTCGTATTGTTTTTGTTACCTTTTGGATACTCTTTGTAAGTATGGATATGTGAAGGTGGCTACTGAGGTGTTTAATAAGGAGAAATATAGAGTTGAGGCTGACTTTAAGGTTTATACAATTTTGATATATGGTTGGTGTAAAATAGGGAAAATCGAAATGGCTCAAAGGTTTTGGAGGGAGATGTTGGAGAGGGGGATTGAGCCAAATGTCGTTACCTATAATGTGTTGTTGAATGGGATTTGCCGGCACGCTAGTTTGCATCCAGTGGGGAGGTTTGAGAAGGTCATTAGGGATGCGGAGAAGATGTTTGATGAAATGTGTGAGAAAGGAGTAGAGCCTGATGTCACAAGTTATTCGATTTTACTTCATGTTTATAGCCGGGCACATAAGCCCCAGTTGTCATTAGACAAGTTGAATATGATGAAAGAAAAGGGTATTTGCCCAAGTGTGGCAACATATACATCAGTCGTGAAGTGTCTTTGTTCATGTGGGAGGATTAAAGATGCTGAGGATTTGATAAATGAGATGGTGCTTAATGGTGTTAGTCCCACGGCTATGACTTTTAATTGCTTTTTTAAGGAATATAAGGGGAGAAGTGATGTAGAAAGTGCAATGAAGTTGTACAAGAAAATGAAGGAAGGCGGTTTGTGGTGTTCACCAAGTATACATACATATCATATAATGCTAGGAATGTTTTTGAAGTTGGGTAAAATGGGGCTTGCAAGGGAGATTTGGGATGATATGAAAGCTAGTGGAACTGGACCAGATTTGGATGGTTATACATTGTTGATTCATGGATTGTGCGAGAAGAGAAAATGGAGAGACGCTTGTGAGTTTTTCATGGAGATGATAGAGAAGGGATTTCTTCCGCAGAAGGTGACTTTTGAGACACTGTATCGAGGATTGATACAAGCTGATATGTTGAGGACTTGGAGAAGGTTGAAAAAGAAGCTTGAGGAGGAATCGATAACTTTTGGTTTGGAATTTGAAGAGTATCACCTAAAGCCATACAGGAGATGATAGTTCTTCAGTGACATTGGATGCAAAAGTTATAGCCGCCTTGTACTCTTTCAATCTTTCTGTTAATATCTCAATAAAAGCTCAAGGATTTAGTGAACATAATGATGTGACCAATTTCAACACAAGTGACAAAGCAATGTGCGCATTGCCATTACTCTAGTCCTAATCTCCTGGCAAACAGCAGATTGCTTGCCTAAGAGCTCTGTTTTATGAGGCAGAAGTATAATTCATTCCCAGTTATTCTAACACCAAAAGCTGGAAATGCGATCTCTATGCATGTAGCTATAATTAGTCAGAAGGGTAAATTCAGTGGACAAGTGTTACTTTGAAGGAATATTAATGTATTTTCATTCATTTGGCTTTGAGCTATGAAAATAGTTTTAGAATTTGTTAGTTTCTGCAATAGTAAATATATGCAACTAACTGTGTTTGGATACCTTGATGCTATGAAAACAGTTTTTAGGATTTGTTAGTTTCTGCAATAGTAGATATATGCAACTAACTGGACAGTGTTTTGTTACCTCAATACAGAAAAGAACTGAGGTGGTTCTTTAGACTGGGTTAGATATGCAAATTATTGAAAGGAGGAAAGCTCCATGGTTTGCTGCTGGTCTGTCTGTGCTTGTTTGTTATCTCTTTGGTCGAAATGTCCGTTCCATGAATGTGATTTTTGGGAGATAAATGACCATTTTCTATATGATATGATGGTCAGGTGTGTTGCGAACAAATATCCTTGTCGAAATTACAAATTCAAATGCTTGCACATGCTACCACTGCTTCTGCTTGCATGGCAAAAGGAGCCGGGTGTTGATTGTGGGTCTGGTTGTCCTCATCTCTAGTTCTCGAGTATTTTTACTACTAGAATTCTAGTTGCATGCAAGGGGAATTGGTTCTGAGAGTAAATTAATAAAACGTGGCCTCACTTTTTCCGTATGCAGAATCCTCTCGTTGAATTGCTTGGAAGAATATCCCAGGAAACTCTTTTTAGTTCATTGGATTTGCTCTGTTCCCTCGAGGTTGTTACCACCTTTCTCCAATTACACGTCGTGCAATATGGCAGGCAGGCACGCAGCAACTTAACGCAGGCAAACTTTGAAGGACCAAGAACCTATTTTGGAAGAACAGCATAGCAATAGGATGAAGGGAGGAAGTCAACAACATGGAAATAATAGCTTCTCCATTCTACGAGATACAAGTGAACGTGGACATTCAACGAATACAGATAATGAAGGCACGGTATGTTTATGACTTCTCAAAATTAAAATAATTTCAGTTATGGATGGAGGAAATGTTTCTTTCAGTCATTGTGTTGGAAAAACCAGTCTTACAGTTCTTACAACTCTTCCAAAAAAATTTTGGCCACTGAAGGCACATAATGATCGTTTGGGTCTCTTTCGCACTCGGGAAGTAAAGGTGAACAAATTCAGAACATAACGCATCAAATTTTAAACACCAAGTCTTAAGCAAATATTGTCCAACAAAATGGTAAAATTCACCTACATTACCACAAACACACATTCATTCAGTGCACTAAACAGTCCTTGCATTTAAAGTACATCCATTAGCAGAAAAATGCTAAGGTAGTCATTTTATTCCTATCACTGACATGAGAAGTCGGAGATTTCCATAGACCTCTGAAACATCCGATGACTCATCAAATGATGAGAGGGGCTCAACTCCCGTGAAAACATACAAAGCCTTCACCTCTTCATAAATGGAAGCAGATTGGCGTTCTCTGTAACCAATTATTGCTTTGACAGCATCGATCTGTGTCCAAACCTTTTCTTCAGTGAGCAACCCCTACAACATAAACAGGTTATAAATAAACAAACAATGAAATCTTAAAAATGCCCATTCCAAGAAATTTGGGAGGACCCTAATTTTGTTGTGATAATTTCTGAAGTGATATTAAGTCATTGTGGAGTCGTGAACAATGATAAAGTGTAGTGTTACACGAATAGTCTAGAAAAGGTGAAATGGCACGTGACATAGTACCATAATGCAAAGGAAAGAAGGTAAGACTACTTGAATGTAAGTCTAGAGATGAAGCCCAAGATGCTAATGCTACACTTGGAGACAGACAGAGATTTGGCCAAGAGGTGCTGGTTTGAAAGTTCCTATAGGCATAGTGTTTCACAAGACCAATGTGAACTTCCATAAATCTGGTTCCTCATTTTGCTCATTGTATTTATTACATTATTTGAATTAGACAATATTAAAAGTACAATACACATTGTACGACGCTGCCCCAGGCATGACCTGACTCTAGCCTTTCTTGCATAAGAAATTAGTTCAACGTTCACATCAGATAAAATAACCAAAACATCCAAGAAAAAAGCCTTGCTTCACAGCACTTGTGAGTAGATATCAACTTGAGAAAGTTGAATGCTTACATTATTTACCTGCAAGGGTATAGCCAGAGGGGGGTAAAAAAAAAAATTTAGGCTGGACAAAATTTTTCAGAAAAAATTCCATGAAATTTCCCTTTTTTTTTTTTT